GAGGTGAGGACAAAGAGGGGGGTCTAGGCAGGGCTTGGCCAGGCTCCTATGCACCCGCCTCTCTGTAACCAATTATGCTTGAGCAGAGGCCTCATCACGTTTCAGATGCCCTCCCAGGAGCGCCCCCCCAACTCCATGCATCCCCGCTGGGTGCTGAGCAAGAGGACCATATGGAGGGAATAATAAGACAATTAACTTTCCATTAAAGAATAATATATGTAGGTTTTTAGGGAGGCAAGCGACAGCAATCCCTACCCAGCGGCATATTTCACACCCGAGCCCCTCACCACTCCCCACCCAGATGCACCCCACATCCCCATCATCTGTGCCAGGAGAGAGGAGGGTGTCACTGGGCCACAATGGGAGGCAGGCGGTTGGATGGATGGGTGGGGACTGCATGATAAGCGAATGCAGAGCCACTAGGATGATGGGATTGAAGCAGAAGTGCAGGCAGCTAGTGATGAGCTGGGTGGGACTAGGGTGGTTTCTTCATCACCCCCTAGCACACTCTCAGTGCACTGCTTGGCCAAGAAACTGCCTTCTGCCTGCCTCTCAAAGTCATGTGTAAACCAGTTCCTGCTGGAAGGACCCACTGTGGGGGCAGGAGTCACAACTTCAGTACTCCCCTTTACCTGGCCTTTCTGGGGTTACTTCAAATCCCTGGCACCTCCCCTCACTCAAGGTTTTTTATTCATCTGCTCCAGCCTCTCTATTTCTAAGGTTTCCTGCCATGTTAAGGGCACTGCTAACCTCACCTGGGATAAATATGGAGCACTATCCTCAAATGGGGACAGACTACATCTTCAGCTAACACTCCTAGAGCCAGTGTGTTAATGTGTAAGGATGCAAGCTGGGAAGTGGGGATTTAGAAGGGGGTGGGGACAGGTGTGTCTCAAAGGTACCAACAGAGGGACTCTAGATGTTTCCAGACTTTGGTCCATGCTGACAGACAGCTCCAGATGTGGTATTTTGAAAATATTAATTACACATCCCTGGGAGCACTGAGCTGATGAGCAGCAGGAAAAGCCAGGGGTGAACAAGATGGGATATAAGCACTGGTTTAAACAGGCCATTTTTAGTTCTCATAAACGGTCAAGGAGTCATGGACAGCATGGGTCTGGGTCACCCTGACTGTTCAGAGGGGCATGATGGGGCAGGGAACACATCAGGAGACTGGGGTGGGGAATCTCCAAACCTGGGGTCCTCCTCTGTGGGGAGGTGCTGACTAGGGTGGATCCTCTGCTCTGATACCTGCTTCTCTACATTCATGGCTGACCTGCTTGAGCTCCTGGATGGGATTGGCTGGTGGAGATGACTGACCAGAACCTTGGTTTCCTCTCCTGTATTATAGATCTATGATAACCCATAGCATGCAGCTGGGCTAAGATCATCGTGGGGGGTGAAGGTGGCTCAGAATACAGCCAGGGGAATAGGCCATTTCTGCCCTGATTGGCAAGTGAGGCACAGGGAGCTCATATGGGTGGTACCTTTCCAGAGGACAGGCTGTGGTTCCCAGACACAGCTATCTTAGGTCTCTGCTCCCAGACAACTATCAGCAGCCTCCCCTCACTCCTAGCTCAAGCAGAGGCTCTTCTCCCCTGCAAACAAAGTCTTACTGGGTCAGAAACCTATCCCAGGACTGGTGTACCTGGTGATAGTCCCATGTCTGATGACAGTCTCTCCTGCTCTGCTTCCCCTCAGGGTCCCCAGAGTTGTTTTCCTTGTACCCTAGAGGTCCATACAGAAGTGGGTGGGTCCCTGGCTGTGCCATTAGAGTGACCTAGGCTTCAGAGAGGAGAGACCTGCCCTTCTCCCCATCCTCCCCACGCACCCCCAGGCACTTGATGAATTATTCATCCTGATCAGTCTCATTATGCAAATGAGCTCTGAGCATAAGCATATGTTCTCTGCTCTCCCCCCAGGATGGGGACAATATGGTGCTGATGGGGGAGGGTGGAGAAGTGGCTCAAGAGACCTCACTCAGCCCCATGGGCTCTGAAGAGGGCAGACTTCTCGGGGTCCACACTTTTGTGGACTGTATAGGGCAAGGGTGGGCAAGGGCTTGGGTGGGGCTAGAGTGCCCAAGAGAGAGTAGTTTAGGGGTATCAAGCTAAACAAGAGGGTAGAGACAATGGGTTAGCACCAGGCTAGTTGCTGGCCTGGGGTTAAATCAAGAAATGTGATGGGGTCTTCATAAGCAGCCCCCTATGCCCTATGAAGGTATGCCACAGTTTCTAACCTGTAAATGGGCCACAATCTGCCCCTAGCCATACCCCCATGGGGTTGTGATAAGGTCGGGAGGAGGAAAATGCCAAGGCAAGGAAAACTCTCCCAAATGCCACTGTCTGCAGTTTTTGCTCTCCTGCAGCTGCCAGCCCTTGAGGCTCCAAACTGCTGGGGGTGGGGCAGCCTCTAGGAGTAGGACAAGCAAGGAGTGCAGCCATGGAAGAGGCTTTCATCATCCCAATGACAGGTGTTTGTGTCAGCTCAGAATCAACTCTGGGAGCCTGAGGAGGGGTAGCCCTGGTGGGGTCCTAGGTTGTAGCTTGGCAGTACCGGTGCCAGGGGTTGTGAAAGCATTGACAGCTGGGTCACAGCTCTGCTTCAACCATTTACCTAACCTGTCAGAGTCAAGTATGGGCAAGATATACCAAGTCCTTCCATGTGCACTGGAAGGAGGGCAAAGGTGTGAAGGTCAAGGTCAAATGTTAACCATAGGACAGGTGGAGAGCCCACTGGTTAGGTCATTCCTGCTCCTACGGGGTTGCTCTCTTTCTCTAGAACTCTACATCTGCTCCTTCCCCATGGACACACCTTGGCAGAGTGTCCTGTGCCAAGAAGCAGTCCCAGAGCTGTCAGCAGGAAGAGGCTGAGGAAGCAGGTGAGAAAAAACTGGAGCAGGACAGAGCCACTGGAGAGCTGACAGCCGTGGGCAGCAGAGGGGTTGCCAGGAGGAGGGGATGCTGGGTCAGCACTTCACTTGCCTGCCACACCAAGCACAGTCCTGTTCCAGCTCAGCTCCCCATGGCCCCCAAGTGTACCCTGTCCATCCTACCAAGTGGGGGAGGCACAGCCAGAGGATGGGAAGCACTTTGAAATAGGAGTCAGGAACTTAAGTCTAAGTCCCAGCTCTACCACAAGCCAGTTGTGTGATAGCAGGATCTTTCCTGGGCTGGTAGAAGCAGTCAGGGAAGATGTGCTCATTAGTGAAAGGACCTGAGATCCCTTATATTCTATTCAGAAGGAGAGGAAAGCATCCTGGGAGTGAAAATGACCAACAAAGAAACTTCAAATTTGATTTCTAGAAAAGAGAGTGTAGCTCTATTGGCCTGTTCACTGCCATCTTCAGTACCTCATCTTCCAGGCAAACTTCCCAGTGAAAAAGGATCAGAGGGATCCAAGCCTCTCAAAGGTACCTATGACAGATTTGCTGAGCTAGATTCTACCTCTGGTCCTCACCATCCAGGAAATTTACTGGTCCAGACAGATCCATGTCTCAGGCATGAAGCATACACTATTTATTATGGACAAATGTTCACGTGTTCATGTGTACTCATGAACACAAAAGCCTGGAGGGTTCTTAACTGGAACATCTAATGTCTTGATAGGAAACCTGGAAAAGCATGCACTGCAAGTTCCAAGGAACTACCATTTCTCCATTAACCTAAACGGCTGCACTTGGCAGTGCCCACTTGCAGCCTGGTTAGTGCTGAGTGCTATTCCTGATCCTAAATTGACTCCTGTTCCAGAACAGCTTTTCCTACAGTGCTTTCTCTGGAAGCTCTGGCGGCTTCCAAGTGCAGCTGAGTCATTGAGAGTTCACAGGAAGAGCAGGATGGGGGCTATTGCAATTCAAGCCCAGCAACTAGGAAAGGGAGGTGTAGAGACTTGGCTTTTGTGGGAAGAACACTGAGCAAGCTGGTGGCTTAGACCTTCAGACTTGGATGCCCCTCCTCACTATGCCACCCCATCATTAGCCACCTTTGATTAGCACCATTTGTGCCAGAGGTCCTGCATCCACAAGCAATGTCAACACTCTCATCCCAATTCAACACCTCCTGGGCCCCTATTAGAAGCTAAAGAAAGGACTAAGGGTGACTCCCACAGTCCCTGTCCTCTAGAGGTTATATCTCCTGATCCTAATCCTGACTAAGAGGGATGACAGGACCACTAATCATTGAACCTTAGGACTAGACTCTCACCTGAACCACAACAGTAACTGTCTTCTCTGCTGTTCCTAGGACAATGATAGGCAGGAGATCCCTATCATTCTTCTGCTTGATTCTGGCCAGGACCTCCCTGCCCATGCCCCAGCAAAGAGACCCTCTCCCATCAGAGTCCTATACCCATTACTATATAAGAACTCAGCTTTTTGAGCCTCTGCATGCCACATAAAGAGCTCAAGCTTGTGGCCTGACAGCAACACATTTTGCAGCCTTCTGGGGGTGACGGATGGCCTGTTCTTCACATCACTATTTCAAACATTAACATAATCTCCCAGGATAAATGTGGTCGCTAGAGCCTAATCAATCACCCCACCTGCACCTTGATCCCTTATTCTGGCTGAACACAGGCTTGCTACTTTACGCAGGCTACAGAGCACTGGCCTCCCACCCTCTTTCCTAGGCTTGCTTGGCCTGGCTATCCCATTCACTTTACTGTGAGTCCTTTGGGCTTCTACACACCCTGTAGCCATGGCCCTTAAAGGGTCTGGGCTTCCACCCCAGGCACTGTCTCAAACACAGAGCTCATAAACATTGAAACCTGAAAAACCCTAACACCTTTCCAGGGACAAGGTTCAACAGAATGGACCACCATTCCAACAGTTACCTGGAGAAGGGCAGACCAAGACCTGAAGGAGTCACTGCTTGGGGTCCAATGGTATCTCACGATGCCAAGACCTCAACGATGCTACTTCTCCTCACTCCATATTTCTGTTACCTTTCCTCATTCCTACTTGGAAGAGAGTCCCTGGGGGAAGGCAAGTGCACCAGGCTTACCTCTCGGAGTTGCTGGACACCTCCAAAAATCCGCATCACACCATCAATTTCCTGCTCCAGGCGCCGGGCCCAGTGCTGCATCCTGCATGCAGAGAAGACAGAGAGAGATGTCAGAAGGGCCCAATGGAGCTGTAGAGGCAGCTGCGAAAACCCATTCCCAGCCACCCAAGGGAACAAGGACAACTACTCACTCAACCCAATTTTCACCAGAGAAGGAAAAGAAGCAAGGAACTAGAGTAAGCTTGTGATTCCCCTTTGAAGTCTGGCCTGGTGGCCTAGGCTCTCCTCACACCCTGACTGGCAGCCAAGGAGGAGGGAGGAGAGCATTGTAGATGCACTGAGGGAGTTAAGCAGCTCTAAGAAGCCTGTAGGGAGACTATTGTTCACTATGAAGAAGCAGTCCTTGATGTAGCTGCTCTGAACATGGGGACTTCTGGACACCAGGGAGGAAGAGAGACATGAGGAAGCCAGGTAGAGCCTGAGGGAGGGAGGGGAGACTATTTTCACCTCCAAACCTCATCTGAGCAATAGAACTGGAGAGCTTCGGACTCAGATGACCCTTGACTTTCTAGTTCTCTGGTAGACAGGTGCTCATTTAAGACTCATCATAAGATGCCTACCAGTCCACCCAGGGGATCCACTACAGACCATCCAGTCTGTTTCCAGAGGTCTGGTAAGCCTATGAATTCTTTACCTGAACCACAAGCCTGCACATGTCTCCTTCACACTAGTGCACCATAGGATCATTTTAATCTATCTGTGTCTTTCTCAGATCCCTCTTCTGGAATGTAGAGATCATTTGGGGCCTAGAATGTCACAAGAGGATATGAAAATAGGGTGCTATAGAGAATCTCTGAGTGGACAGGATGAATAGGTGGTCATATGACCCTGTATTCTAAGCCCCACATTTAGGAAAAGGGAAAGTATCTGGGAAGTTGCCTCACTCTAGGTCAAACCTGTGACTTTCCCCTTCAGACAATGCCAGGTCAGATAAACTCTTACCAGGAGCCAACCGAAGACATCTTCCACATGATAAAAGATGTTCTCAATAGTGACCAAGGTTCCCTGCCCCCACATATATAAAAAGGTGCTTCAACATTCCCTTTCACTTGACATATGCAGTAGAAAAGGCTCCTCCAGGGCAGCCCACAAAGGAATCACCACTGAGATGTAAAGAAGCCATTGGTCAGGGCTAGAGAGATGGCTCAGATGTTAAGAGCACTAGCTGCTCTTGTAGAGGACCTGGGTTCAGTTCCCAGCACCCACATGGCAGGTAAAAAACATCAGTAACTCCAATTCCAGGGAATCTGACACCCTCTTCTGACCTCCACGGGCATTGCACGACACAGATGCACTTCTATACATGCAGGCAATACACTCATACACATAAAATAAAAATAATAAATAAAATATTAAAAAAGAAGCCATGGGTCTATAGGCACAGTCGAGTAGGGTGATGTCAGTAAAGTTACAACCTCTCTGGGTCAACCACCTCCCCAAGTGTCACTTGGAGTTAGAATTCTCTTCAGGATCCCTGGGTCAGAAGAGCCCAAGATTTCACCCTCTCTCCCTGCCCCACATTCTTTCTCAGGCCTGTGGCTGGGGGGGTTGGGCCCATGTCATTGTGTGTGCCCAGGTCGGTTGGCATGGGAACTCTGAGCAGGAGGCGGGCAGATCACTAATTGCAATTTGCCAAGCTGAATGTCAGGACTGTGATGGAAAAAACAATCAACATCAAAAGAAAGAAATATTAGCTTTGGCTTGTTGATGGCTGAGCCACAGCCTGACTCCCCACCTCTGCTCCCCACCAGAGGAGACAATCTAACCCCAAGTCTGGATGGAGGCCAGGGTGTAGACTTCAGCTGCCAGCCTGGTAAGGTCTGGGTACAGCAGAGCAAAGCACCTTCTTGGCCTGACCACTGTCTACAAGGCACTGGTAGCACTAGATAGCATAGCACTACCTTGGCCCTGGCTGCACATAAACAATGTGGCAGGTAGCTCATTTGTGATCTTGAGACATCAGAGCCCTGGGGTCTAATATTGGGATGGACTATCACACAGTCCTGTATCTGGACAGGTGGCAGACAAATGGGCAGGGTCAAGGACCTGATCTCCAAAGGGATTCATTAGCTCTGCCCTGGCCCTACATCTTCATCAACCATTTGCTGGTTTAGAAGACACAATGTCAATCATAATCCTTCTTGCATGAATATACATAAGGGTACCCACTATGTATTAAGTACAGTACCAGTAGGTAATGTGCTCTCTCATTTCAACCCTCACAAAGGAATACAAAATCATCCCCAACTTACAAATGAGGAAACAGAAGTACAAAGGGTTTAAGTGACCTATCAAAGGTCAGTTATCCAGAAAGGGGTGGACACAAGATTTATTCCAGAAGTTTGTTGGAGCCTCAAGAACCGACACACAAGAGCAGACTATTCGCAGCTCTTCTTGACTCTGTATTTAGCACTTCACCTTCAGGGTTTGAAATCAGTCACAGTGGGAACATTTACACCACAGAAATTGGCAAATACTAGAAATCAGTGTTTTCCCCTTGGAAAGCAAAATGACAATATTTAAAATATATTTTTATTAATTCTTTGAATTTCATACAATGTATTTTGGTCAAATTCACCCCCATTCCTCTCCCTAACTCCTCCCAGATCCACCCCTCCCTACTCTTTATTTATTTATTTATTTAAAGATTTATTTATTTATTTATTTATTTATTTATTGGTCTTTTTGAAACAGGGTCTCCCTGTAGCCCCAGCTGGCCTGAACTCACTGTGTAGACCAGGCTGACCTTGAACTCACAGAGATCCACCTGCCTTGCCTCCAGAGTGCTAGGACTAAACATGCACCACCACGCCTGGCGCCGTTCTTCTATTTTTAATAATCCACATAGTCCAATTTGTGCTGTCCATATACTCATGAGTGTAGGGTCATCGACTGGAGTTTGTTCAACCTTCCAGGGGCCATACCCTTAAAGAAAACTGACTCTCCCTTCCCAAGTGGCCATCAATTGCCAATAGCTCCTCAGCAAACTGACATTTACCAACACAGCAATGATTCCACCCTGGGCTGCGACTCTTTGCTAGTATGTATGTAGGTCTCTGCTTCTGGGATCTCACAGATAAGTAAAAGAAAATTAATTGGGAGAACAGACATGGATGCCAAGTTTTTATTTTGCTCAGACAACACATTATTACTATAATCACCATCATTTCATGTAAAAGCCTGTTTCAACCCTAAAATAATTTTTAGAAGAACCAAATCTTAGGATAAAATCCAATTCTTCCATATACTACACATATGTACTCCCTCTCCCAGTCTGGTAGGACTTCTTCTCCCCTCTCATTCCTCTCTCTCCCCTCTCATTTCTCTCTCTCTCTCTCTCTCTCTCTCTCTCTCTCTCACACACACACACACGTGTCCACATTCCCACCCTGAGGTTGAACAGCACTAGACTTCATTATGGGCTGCAAAGGCTGGTCTACCAGGACACATCTGGACATAGACCCTCTCCTGAGGTTCTGAGGTGGCTCCAATCCTTAGTCTGGTATCCTGGGTCTCACAGGCAGACCCAAGCCCCTCATGCTGTCCATCAGCACAATGCTAAGGAAAACAAGTTATCCAATTCTTCACCCAAACCAAACCCAATTAGGAAAGCAATATCTGTGTCCTAGAGTTAAAAAGAACATGACGGCTAATCCATTTCATTGTCTCACAGATATGACTTTGTGGGTTCCAGGGTTTGGCCAGTGTCCCAGTGCTAGCTGTGTGTCTGTGTCTGTGTGTGTCTGTGTGTGTGTGTGTCTGTGTCTGTGTCTATGGTGTGTGTGTGTGTGTGTGTGTGTGAGAGAGAGAGAGAGAGAGAGATACATAGGTACTGAGGAGGCCAAGGAAGGGACCATGACTGCAGCACTCCTGCCTCGAGGCTAGTGAAGCTACACAGCCAAATTTAACCATGACCCAGGCAGAGCTGGGCTTAACCCCACAGAATGGCACAGGGGCTTAGAAGAACAAGGGATGCATCAGAATCCAGGACCTCACTTGCTCAAAGACAAACTAATCAAATCCTGCGTGTGTTTCTGTGGCCTTGGGCATATATGTTCCTATGCCAGTGCATCCTGGCTACCTAATGCTTCCCACCGGTCATATTCCCAACAAAAAGGTCTACCTGCTAGCTCCCCAGATTCTTGTGATTTTCCACCCTCTTCACTGAGATGACATTGCTTATCTCTAAGTGCTTGTAAGTGCCAAATTATTAAGATAGTGAGGGGAGAGAGTGTCGAGAGGAGGACACAGTACAGTCAGGGGCTGCAGGTACTTCCTGACTGGTGAGTCTGAGAGACTGTGCCTTGTCTTCTGAAGTGCCTGAATCTATGGGAAGTAAAGGCATTGCAGTCCTACTTTATAGACAAGAAAACCAAGGTATCTGATAAGAATACGTGCAGGGTCACACACTTAAAGAGAAGCTGGCTCTACTAGGTTCATAAACCCCTCCTTCCAGGACAATGTACTTCTGAGACGTCACAGGGGAGGGGAGAGGCTGCTACTGAGTTCTGCCCCCTTGGAACCTCAGCTTTCCCATCTGTCAATAAGGCTAATAATAATAATTGTCTGAATACCGTAACGGTGGAGGTTGGGGATGCAGCTGTTAGTAGAGTACTAGCTTAGCACTGCATAAACCAGGGCAGGATGGTGTATGCTTGCAACTCCAGAACTCAGGAGGTAGAGGCAGGAGGATCAGAAGTTCAAAGCCAGCCTGGGACATATCCACAAGGACACCTTGATGAGTAGCAATCATACTAAATAGTTTCCTGAGGGCTAGATACTCATACAATATGGCCCTTTTCCTTAAGATCTAAGGGCACATTGAAGGCATCTGGGGGAAGGGAGACAAAGGGAAAGTGTGGTGAGGCAGGCTGAGGCAACCCAACAGTAAAGAAGCCAATACCAGGAGCTGTGGGATTCCAGGCCTCAGTCTCCAGAACCAAGAGGAATAGGGAGGTAGGGAGGTGTCACCATCAGGCAAGGGAGCAAATTTAACCATACATGAGGCAAGTAGCTGAGAC